CAACTGCGGCAGTAGTGCCCGCAGCAGTAGCAGCAGCACCAGCAGCCTTTCCGTCTTGCCACCGCCCAGTACTGCCAGTCCGCCGCATTCTTTCAACTTGAACATCAATCCAGACAGCCATACTACAGACCGGTCGGCGGACTCTGAGACGCACTGCGGCTTCGCGAACGGCAGTGAGGAGCACCTCCAGGACTCATCCTCCTCGGCCGCCAACGCCGCTTACATGCATAATTCTACACTGGAGGTTGAAGGAACCATGCCATACTCCTCTGTCGGCTATTCAAAGGTTATGTTTTGGCATTATCTGTAGTCCTCATTTAAAGAGTGATAGTTTTGTGCAGAAATGCCTTGTCTAAGTATGCTTCTGATACCGTTTTCCTTGCTCGAGCGTACTTCCCGTGACCTACGGTAATAGCGTGGAGTTTGCCCTTCGAAATATCATCATCAAAGTGCTGTTTGCCTTGCTCTTTTTTTCTCGGGAAAAGATGTCTTAATCAAGTTTCATTTGACCCAACTGTGAAAGCTCGGCGGCCTCGGTGGTACTCGAACCCACGGCAGCAAGGAAAGGCTTTCGTGCAGCCACCGTTCTAGCCAATTGAGTTACCGATGCCCCACTAGGACCCGTGAGTTTAACCACACTTGATATAAGTTGCCCGCCTCGCCTAGTGCAACTTATGGAATACACCAATTCTAATACAGTATGTTGACTGCCCAAATTGGATTTACTAAGCCATCAATCTAGAATCCACCAGATGACTTTCTCCTTCGGCTATTTTGGGTTTATAATTACAAGGCTGCTTGCCAATAGTAGAGAATATGCGAGTTCCAGGAAGCAGTTTAGAAGAAGAAAATGCGAGCACTGGAACAAGAGTTTTATTTGCCTGACGTTTCGGATTCCCTACTAGGTTCCACGAAATATAATATACAACAACTTGCATATACTCAGTAGTCTAATGAATAAGGGTCTAAATCAAACAACCGAAAGGTGTAAATCGGGTTACTACGTGGATCACCTGACAAATAAGTTCGGTGGCTTTCTTCCACTCCCCCGCATTAACATTGCATGAATGTTTAAGGCATTCAACGATGGAAGCCGAGGTGGCTTGGGCGCAGGTTTTGTCGCTTTCCACAGGAATTTCTTGTCACCGTCCAATTCGAGAGGCTACCAAGGGGTCGGTTTTAGAACACAACCTGATGTAATCCGCGTCAAGATGGGTTCATGGTTTCGTAACCGGAGAAGTGGTGCCCTTCAAGCCCCCTTTTCGCGCTGATCTTAACTGGTGTAGATATTTTCTGCGTGAGAGTTCGACGGTCAATATTTACAACTTCCACCGCGTGTGCTCCACAGACTGAGGGCAGCATGGGGATGTAAACATGGATTAGTTTATAGTGAAGCAGACATGCGCGCAACGTCTACAGCTCTCTTTACTCATCCGCCCGACTCTAATGACAATGCGCTTAAAGGACGACCGGAGGTAGGCTCAAACGCCATGTCTAACCAACTCGTCTACGCGGGCAGCACACGACATGATCCCCCCCC